TATTCATCAGTGGTCACCACAGTGGAATGAACCGCCAACTATTCCAGCATGTTTTACGCAGTGGATGCCCTTCCAGCTGCAATCCAGTACTGGGAAATACCCGTACACACTCATTCACACACACACACTCATTTACTACGGCCAGTGTAGTTGATCAGTTCCCCTATAGCGCATGTGTTTGGACTGAAGCCGGAGCACCCGGAGGAAACCCACGCCAACACGGGGAGAACATGCAAACTCCACACAGAAACACCAACTGACCCAGCCGAGACTCAAACCAGAGACCTTCTTGCTGTGAGACCACAGTGCAACAGCACTGAGCCACCGTGCCACCCTCTTTATTTATTTATTTAATAGGATTAATTTATTTGTAGTGTTTTATTCTGGATAGAGTCTTATTTCTCTGAGTTTGGCTGGAGTAAGAGCAGCTTTAAGGTCAGTATTATCAGCCTCCTCTTATCATTTTTCGATTGTCTTCAGAATAACCCGCTGTTGTGCAGTGATGCTCCTGATTTCCCTGATTAATCCCTCAGATGTCACTGTAAGCTGAACTGCCATGTACAGTAGAGCTGTAAACTCCACTTGTTGTGTTTTAATGTTTGTTGTTGTTGTTTGTTTTGGCATTAAGGCACTCTGATCCTTCCTCCAACCACTTTTAATGTTGAAAAGCCCAAACAAACGAGGAAATAAATTAAATAATTAATTAGTTACAACTAAAATAAACATAATAAACAAGACAAAAACTGCCAGTGAGAGAAGCTTTTCTGCAGTGATCTGGCTTCTCACTTGTCTATTATGAAGATGTGAACAGTTTATTAGCTCTTATAGATGCTCTTATTCTACTTGCCTGTTCCTAAACCCGACTATTGTCTTACTAACTATTAATAATCAGAGGTGTTATGGTGGCACAGTGGGTAGCGCTGTCACCTCACGAAGAAGGTCACCTCAGCAAGAAGGTCTCTGGTTTGAGTCTCGGCTGGGTCAGTTGTTGTTTCTGTGTGGAGTTTGCATGTTCTCCCTGTGTTGGCGTGGGTTTCCTCCGGGTGCTCCGGTTTCAGTCCAAACACATGCGCTATAGGGGAACTGATCAACTACACTGGCCATAGTAAATGAGTGTGTATGTGTGTTTCCCAGTGATGGGTTGCAGCTGGAAGGGCGTCCGCTGTGTAAAACATATGCTGGAATAGTTGGCGGTTCATTCCACTGTAAAGGGACTAAGCTGAAGGAAAATGAATAAATAATAATCAGCTAATTAGTTTAATGAGCTAAACGCCTGATCTCAGGAGGAAACAGCTCTTTCAGGTTTTGTCAGTTTGGTGGCTAATTCATCGAACAAGTTCATTCATACAGAAATGTACAATTTTAAAAAGGAAACGTGGCGCCAAACTCCGCCACTGAACCGAAACAGTTACGAGTTGCCGTGAGATTGTGTTGAAATGTCTGATGGCTCATTAAAAGTGTGACCCAGGCGGCGCCCCAGTGTCGTGAGGACCAGATCACACTTTAAATGCAGGAGCGAGCTGTCATTTGCTCTTAAACTATATATTAGTTTCATATGAAGTGACGACACCTGCTTTACAGCACTTAACACAGCAGGCGCAGGACGTCATCATGACTTCAGATCAACACCACACCCCAGCATCATGGGGACGCTGCATTCTGTTTAGAAATCAACATCGAGTTCAGGTCAGAACCCAACAGCAGGCCAGAGTCCAACCCAAAATCAACCAAATATCAACGTCTGGCTGACGTTGTGTGGACGTTACCACTATGACGTCTATCAGATGTTGGATTTTGGTTGCCGTACCTGATGAGTAAATGTCAATATCTGACGTTAATGTGACACTGGTTTAAGATGCTGGCTCAACGTTGGATTTTGGTGACATTCCAACACAACCTGAAATCAACCAAATATCAACCTCATTTGATGTAGTTAATGGATGAACACTGTCCTTAGACGCTGGCTAGACACTGGATTTTGATCACCTGACATCACAACCTAAATCTAACCTAATATTAACATCGTCTGCTGCTGTGCCTGCTGGGTAGTGTGACCTAATGAACTGCTCACTCTCAGAGACATTTACGCTATATCCAAGATGATATGTTATGTTGGTGTTTCATAACAGCTCAATTTTATGAGGTGTGTTATTAGCCCAATGCTCAACCCCTGATCTGGAGAACCAGGACACACTCGAGCACTCCGGCCAGTGTAGTTGATCAGTTCCCCTATAGCGCATGTGTTTGGACTGAAACCGGAGCAGCGCCCGGAGGAAACCCACACCAACACAGGAAGAACATGCAAACTCCACACAGAAACACCAACTGACCCAGCCGAGACTCAAACCAGCGACCTTCTTGCTGTGAGGCCACAGTGCTGACCACTGCTCTAAATGAACTATAGCTAAGTATTCTGTGTTAATTGTGTAGAGCGTTATTAAAGCATCACTGGAGAAACATTTGGGAAATACTGCAGAGAAAACCGAGGAATGTTCAGCTG